CGAAAGGTGACCGAGCGAGGGACGACTGTAGCTCAACGTCGAGGCCCCACCTCCCGCCCCCGGTAAGGCGTCCGGGTTTTCACAAACGGAAATATGGTCACCCTAGTAACAGAAACCAAAATATCATGATATCGTATCGTCAGGTCTCACAATAATATCGTGCGCTGTCGTAATATGTCAAATTACGTCGCTTAAATTCACGGTTTTACAGCAGCGACAGCTTACGAGCACGTGGAACTACATTTCCCATGATTCATTTCAGCGCGGACAACACGAAGAAATGTGTTTTTACGTGAATTCTCGGGCTTACGACGGAAATAATTCACGCCAAAAATCTCTTCAAGGTATTTTAAAAGCAAAAAAAGTGTCCCGTCTATAAAATATCGCAATAAATATCGTACAGCGAGATGCGTATCGTGATAATATCGTATCGAAAGAGTAAACGTCACTTCTGGTTAATGGTTTTCTGCGGCAAAATGTGTAAAAATGTAAATGTAAAAATGTGACGTTTACCCGACGGCACTTCCGGCCGTTGTGAAAAAGGTGAAAAAAAAAAAAAAAAAAAACCTCACACCCTTAACCAAATAAATTGCAGGGGAGAGTGAAAATGTTCCGTTGTATCTTTTAATCGCTTTTTTTTGTTGTTTTGATTTGTTTTGTCTGGAAATATTGTTGTGTTTGGTTATTTTAGTGGTGACGGTGTGGTTTCTTTAGAGTGCGTTTTGTTTTGTGTGTGTTCTGTTTTGTGTGTGTGTGTGTGTTTGTCCAGTGTGACTCGAGTGTGAATCTGCGGGTCACGCGCTCGTCACATTCCGCAGGAGTTTTTTTTTGGAGTTCTTTTGTGAGCGTCGAGCACAAACCGAGAGTTAACACCTTTGCACATGAACTAAACTGAGCCTGTCCCACAATCTGTACTACTACTACTACTACTACTACTACTACTACTACTACTACTACTACTGCTACTACTACTACTACTACTACTACTACTGCTACTACTACTACTACTACTACTACTACTACTACTACTACTACTACTACTACTACTACTACTACTGCTACTACTACTACTACTACTACTACTGTACTACTACTACTACTACTACTACTACTGCTACTACTACTACTACTACTACTACTACTACTACTACTACTACTACTACTACTACTACTACTACTACTACTGCTACTACTACTACTACTACTGCTGCTACTACTACTACTACTACTACTACTACTACTACTACTGCTACTACTACTACTACTACTACTACTACTGCTACTACTACTACTACTACTACTACTACTACTACTACTAAAAAAAAATGTCTGTATCGTACAACATCAACAAAATAGGAAAACGAAAAAACAATTTTCTTCATTATTTGTCTCCAAAACCCAAAAAAAAAAAGAAAAAAAAAGAATTATTTTGGGTTTAAATGAAAAATGTTAAAAACAGATAACAGACCGAACCAGGTCCAGGATTGAGTCCAGGACTGAGACTGGGACCAAACTGGGACCAGACCAGGACTGAGACCAGGACCAGACTGGAACCAGACTGGGATTGAGACTGGAACAGACCGGGACCAGACCGGGGCTGAGACCGGGAATACACCGGGAACAGACCAGAACTGAGACTGGGACTGAGACTAGGACTTAGACTGGGACCGGAACTGAGACCGGGACTGAGACCGGGACTGAGACTGGGACCAGATCAGGACTGAGACTGGGACCAGATCAGGACTGAGACCAGGACTTAGACTGGGACTGAGACCGGGATCAGACCAGAACTGAAATCAGAACTGAGACTGGGACCAGACCGGGACTGAGGCCGGGACTGAGACCAGGACCAGACTGGGACCAGACTGGGACCAGACTGGGACCGGGAGTAGAACAGAACTTTTTTTGTGTGTGTGTGTTTTTTGTTTTTTTTGTTTTTGTTTGTTTGTTTGTTTGTTTTTTTTTGTACAGTGTCTGCTAATGTGCGCATTCTGTCTCCGTGGTAACCGCTGAACATTCCACCATAGAGGTCTATGTAGAGCGGCTGCGGCGGACGGAGCAATAACATGAACACAAATACAGAACATGATTTTTGATTCAGATGGATGTAAATGTCTGTAGGGATCATTCTATTTTTCTTCTTCTTTTGCCGCGTGTGCCGGAGCAGCTCTGCGTCTGAGCCTGTTCCAAACTCTTACCTCAGGTCGACCCCTGACCCCTGACCCCTCACCTGTCGGTCCCTGTCGTTTCTCTGAATGTAAAAGTGTTAAAGTGTTTTCTGCACTTTGAAATCAACAAAACAAAACTTGAATAAAAATCAATCGACAAGTCACAAAGTGTTTTATAATGTGTGTGTGTGTGTGTGTGTGTGTGTCTGTGTGTGTAAGTGTCTGTGTGTAAGTGTGTGTGTGTGTCTCTGTACAGAAAGTGTATTTCTCACAGGAAAACCAGAATTTTTTTAGAGATAAAAATAATATATATATATATATATTTCCTGCTCTCTTGGTTAGGGTCAAAAATATTTTCTCAATTGGTGAGAATTTATTTGAATATACATTTTTGGGTCTGATTAACCTGCCCCAAAAGAGCGGGAAGGAAAAAAAAATAAATACAAAATTCTGAGGAGAGAGTGAAGGTTTTTAATGAAATGTGGAAGTGAACTCCTCTGGGGTTAAATATAAATGACCACCAGAGGGAGACAAAGCGAACCAAAGTGTGTCAGCTCAGTCCAGTAGTAAGTGGATGTCCTTTAACTTTCTCCAGCTAAATGAAAATAAGACTGAAGTTATTCTATTTGGACCTTACACTGACACCCTCACATCTGACCTTGGACCTCTTGCCACAAATGTGCACGGTTCAGCAAAGAACCCTTGGTGTTTTTATGGACTCTCTTTTAAACTTTGACAAACAGATCTCAAATGTCGTTAAAACTACCTTTTTCCAACTCAGACAAATTGCCAAATTAAAACCAATCCTATCATGCAATAACTTTGAAACAATCATTCACGCCTTTGTAACAAATAGACTGGACGACTGTGATGCACGATACTCAGCCTCCCACAATCCTCCCTCAACAGGTCACAGTTAATCCAAAATGCTGCTGCCAGACGCTCACCAGTTCCAAAAAGAGAGACCATATTACACCCATCCTCGCCCAACTCCACTGGTCACCTGTTAAATACAGAATTGATTTTAAAATTGTATTATTTGTTTTTAAATCACTTAACTCACTTGCGCCACAACACATCACTGATCTTTTAACCCCCCACAGCCTCCTGGTCTCTCAGGTCAAACTCGCTCAACCTTCTGTCCGTCCCACCGTCCCGCCTCAAAACCACACTGAAAAAATGGTCCGAGAGGAGTTGCTCAAATTGCAAAAAAAAAATAAAAAACTGACAACAATAACATGACTTTTTTATGATTCTCTGTCCAGCATGTTTAAATCTTTAAAACATGTTTGTGATGTTTTATTTGAAATTATGTAAAGACTGTTTCCATGAAACAAATTGTCTTTGACTGTCCATCTACAAGAGTGTGACACTTGTACTAAGATTTAAATGTGTTTGTTCCAGAGTCGTCTACAAACACAGAGTGACGTCCAGGT